AATTCCTAAGGGATATACCATGGGACACAGAACACGGAACTAAGTCCGTACAAGACATGATGGACTATGTCACCCAAAAGTGTCAGGAGGCTGTAACCAGGTTTATCCGGGACCCCAAAAAAACTGAGAAGCAAAAGAAGACTCCATGGTTTATTAGCGCATGTATGGAAGCAAAGGAACTGAACAAAAGGGCGTGGAGGAACTTCCGAAATAATAGAACGCCCTAAAGCAGAGAGTTACCAGAGAACCAGGAACGAGTATGTTAGTGTGAGAAGAGAAGCAGAGAAAAAGTATGAAAATGATATAGCAAATAAAGCCATGACCGAAACAAAGCTACTCCACAGGCACATCAGGAGGAAAACAGTGAAAGAACAGGTGGTGAAACTTAGAACAGGTGAGGACAGGTACATGGAGAATGCCAAAGAGGTGTGTGAAGAACTCTACAAGAGGTTCCAGGAGGTCTTCACAATAGAACGAGGTGAAGTCGCTGTGCTAGGAGAGGTGGCAGTAAACCGGGTGGCCTTGGAAGGGTTTTATATTACAAGAGATGAGGTCAAGAGGCATCTGTTTTATCTGGATGTGAGAAAGGCTGTTAGTTCGGATAGAATCTCACCATGAGTATTGAAAGAGTGGGCAGAAGCCTTTGTTTGCCACTCTCCACAGTGTATAGTAGGTCACTGGAGACAGGGGACCTACCAGAAATATGTAAGAGGGTTAATGTAGTCTCAATATGCAAAAAGGGGTGACAGACAAGAGGCACTGAACTACAGGCCAGTGTCCATAACTTGTATATCATCAAGGTGAGGGAGAAGATCGCAAGAAAAAATCAAGTAACACATCTGGAGAGAAGGGACTTGTGACAAACCAACAACATGGGTTCAGGGAGGGTAGATCTTTCCTCACTGACTTAACAGAATTCTACTATCAGGAGACAAAGGTTAAGCAAGTAAGAGATGGATGGGCGGACTGCACTGTCTTGGTCTGAAACCTTTGACACAGTACCCCATAAGAGGCTGGTACATTAGCTGGAGAAACAGGCAGGAATAACTGGTAAGGTGCTCCAGTAAATAAGGGAGTATCTAAGCGCTAGGGAGCAGAGAGTTACAGTGAGGGGCGAAACCTCAGGTTGGCAATGAAGTCACCAGTGGAGTCCCACAGGGCACTGTACTCGGACCTATCTTGTTTTTGATATGCATAAATGATCTCCCAGAGGGTATAGACTCATTCCTCTCAATGTTTGCTGACACTGTACAAATCAAGAACCACACACACAGTTAATCGTAATAATACTTATTCGGTTATAGACGACGAGGGTATTTCTTCCTGTAGGCATCCCACCGAGCCCACTTCTCCGCAGATGTGGAAACGTGACGATGTGATCGCCGCGGGTGATACATAGTCAGGTACATCCATCACGACGCCCTCTACCGTGGGGGCGGATGTCACGGGGGCGGTGGAACCACAAGGGGCTGGAGCACAGGAGCCAGCCATACAGAGGGCGGCAGCACAACGTGCAGAGTCGCACAGAACAAAGTCACAGAGGGCGATGGCGCAGGGGCCGACACCACAGGGGGTGATGTGACAAAAGGCGGCTGAGCAGAGGGTACGACTGGCATCACCAAGGGCAGATGCACGGAAAGCACAGACTTGGATACCAGAGGCGAACAAGCCGCCGGAACAGAATCTTTCTTAGAAACCATCACCAAGTCCCCCTCCCTCCTCCTGCAACTTTGACCGGTGCCACAACCTCCCAACCCGGGGAACCAGCAACCGGGGTTGCAGAGGCAGCCAGAGAAGACACTGGACCAGGCATGAATCCCACCACAGGACCCATCACCGCCGCAACACGGCCCACAGGAGCCGCAGGCACCCCAACATCGCCGCCCACATCACCATCCACAGAAGACGAACTCCTGGAGTCTCCAAAAGTCCAAGCCTCACCATGAGGTGGAGACAGACTCGAAACTCACCGCGACCCCCTTGTACATAGGACGCAGGTCGTTGGAAGTATCAGCCCCGCTAGGGGGAGCACCGCAGCAGAACTTCCAATCAGTCGCACGTCACGCAGTGCACGATCACTCGACATCACAGCCTCAACAACCCGGGGAACAGGACCACACACCGTGGGAGACATCACCGCGTGCACGTCGATACGGGCCGAAGACGCAGCTTCCGGAGACAGTGCAGTCCGGGGCGCAGGTTCGATGGCTTGGGGCACTAGACCACACACCACAGGAGACACAACAGGAGACTTAACTGGAGACTGGGCAGGTAGGAATGGCTGAGGCGGGGAAGCCGGGGTCGCACTACCACCACCTCGACACCCTAGGTGGGCATCAGAGACAGGCAATGGGGCACCAGACGACTGAGAAGCATCACTCATCACAGCATCTGGAGACAGGTCCAAGACCACCAACAGGGGGAAATCCTCCTCCTTGAAGAGGTTCATTGGGCCAAACCGGCTCGCATCACAACCTGCAGCCTGGTGGCCTGATAGTCCACACCGGAAACATGTCCAGCTCTGACCCGCATAGAATACTCGCACCGTGAAACCCAGAAGCAGGAGAGACGAAGGGATGGGATCCTTCAGTCGCATCGCCACAGAGCGGGTCCCATTTCGGATACCTTCCCGAGCACTCGGAAACTCAAGATCCACCCATGCCGGGTAAAGTGACGCCAGAGAAGAGAGTCGGGGAACTCAAAGGGAGCACCATGAACATCAACATAGGTAGTCTCACTGCACTTGTCCAACACCTCCACCGAACCACCACCCTCAGGCAAAGTGAGTATCCTCCCGTCATAGCAGTCCACAAAGTCACGATACACAGTCGTGGAGCTGAATTTGACAACAGCTCGATGCCCAGACACAAGTTGAATGCCGCACACAGACGCCACATCTACTCGCAATATATCAGTCATGACCACCTCAACTGCCCGGTAAGACGCTGGTCCAGTCAACTCCAGCCCAATGGTATCCTCTGCTTCATAGGAGGGGGGGGGGGGGCCACCATCTCTCCAGCCAACACGTGCCCAAGGCCCTGTTCACAAACACACATGACCACAGGCCAGCAAACCAGTAGCTCGCAGACGACACGTTTGCCTCTGCCAAGAGCTAGGCGAGCACTCCAAGTTGAATTGGAAGGAATACTAGTAGCATTCGAAATTATTGACAACACTGAAGTAGACAGCTTAATTATTTTCGACTCCTTTTCCTCACTACTAGCAAATAAATAGTTTGCAATCAAGTAATAACGTGCTTGTCTCAGAAGCCAGACATAGATATATAGGCATATTAAGGGGTAAATGTAAATTTTTTTGTATTCCTTCTTGTCATTAGACGAGAACTCCTGGATAAATTTGAAGAAAGTAGAACGAACTGGAACTAGCACGTCCACTGTTTATCACAATGAAATGTGTGAAGTAAAAGTTGTGTATGGGGGCAAGTAACAAAATAAGTAGACTAACAGACTGTCACAGATCGAAAAAGACTTGGTGTGACGGGTTGTGGTATTGCAGCTACACTGAACGACGATAGTATGGCTCTCCCTCACACAAATAAAAAAAAATGCTGCTATTGGCCCTGCAGTGTGTAAGTCGGAGGTGGAAACAAAAGAAAATCATCAAATAAATAATTAAAACAATTTACGGAAATATTAATGAACAAAAATGACACATGACAATACTTGGCTATTATAATATAACAAATCAAATAAGTAAATGAAAGTTTAACTCTAATACAAAGCATAAAGATATACTGGTGTACTGAAGACAGCTCCCATACTACCACTGCATCACACACACAACGTTGGCTGAAGGCAGAAGACAGGTGAGAGAAACCAAGGTGATCCTTGAGCACTGAGAGACTGGCTCTCCAGGGAGGTGGTGCCCCTTATATAGTCCGGTGGTGATAACCCTCCGGTGTCACCACAAGGTGGACATCTGGTCAACTAGCAAACTGCTGACTGCTCGTTTGTGGCTGGCGGTGCCTTTGTGTTGAGCTGCACCACTGCCAGTTGAAGGCGGCTAACTGCTAGCTTGTGGGGGCAAACTACCGGTCAGCAGAGGTGCCCGGCTTGCCTCTGAGTCGTACCAGGCCAGGCCAGGCCGTGCCAGGCCGCGCCAGGCCCTGGGGGGTATGGAGAGGTGGCAAGACTGATGACTCATCTGGGCTGGTGTAGATGTATACTTCCACCACAGAGGCATTGAAGGTGAAGGGAAAAGGCAGTTCGGCTTGTATAGGAGCTCTAGAAGAAATAAAGTGTAGTGTGTGAATAAAGACAGGGACACATACTCAAACACTCCTTGGATTGTAGTAAAATTGAGCCATTTAGAGATAAATCTAAACTCACGTTGTATGATATGGCAACCTATCTTATTACTAAGGATAAAATACCTGAAATCCTTGCACTGTATCCACATTTCGCTCCCAGTAGATAAATGACATGAGATTAAGAAGCAAGTAGTGTATTGTGAAGACTAATAATAAACTGCAACTCGCCTAAACTCTGTAATATCTCCATTGCTCAAACAATTATGTATTAGCTATAGACCTACCATTAATGTATAATGTCTTACTGTAAATATATAGCTATTAAAATAGAACATGCTCTGTAACTAGCTGACATTGTAACTATAAGGTGTGAAGCACAGATGAAATTGTTTATGAAATAATCTAAGTTATGATAAAAACCTTTTGTGCCCTCTGCAATGCTTTTTGCGCTACCGCTCACAGCATGAGTATGGGGTGCACAATAAACTGTCGGCCTCAGGCGGCAACAATCAAACAATCGTCGTTTCACCATCTTCTGGTGACTGGTTTGGTCATCACATCTTCAGCCCCGTTATTGTGACTCGTGGATGCCTACTATGTGGTTTGGTCACTCCATAGCACCAGAATATTTATATTTATCGTAATGTTTGAATAATTATCGATATATCTGAAGTTTATAAAGATTAAAATCCTTTCCAAAGAAACATTCCTTGAGTTTGAGTTGTGCGCCTTAACCCACAAACTGTAATATTAGCGCATGTTGAAGTATTTTAATGCATTATCCATCATGCTAGTTAACTTTGTTACTAATTCAATACTAGTTAACCGGCAATTGCTAATTGATTTACCTTTCAGTTATAGACGAATAAATAATTTTTTCTTAAAACACAACAAGGTTAATGTTTTTTCAATACCGTTTATAGTGTTGATGTGGAGGTTGGAGGTTGTTAGGTTAGCGCTGCAGAAAGTAAGAGTTATGGAGGCTGGAGGTTTATGTGAGGTGGCCGCTGGAGTCTGAATATACCACCTCCTTTCTCAGGGCTTCTCGCTCTGCTGGTGACCGTTACTTACACCGCTAAGCGAGGCTGTTGGGTAATTATAGTCCCGTTAACTGCCTTGTGCCCTGATGGTCGGTGACGAGGGGGTGGGTCAGTGACGAGGGGGTGGGTCGGTGACGAGGGTGGTGGGTCGGTGACGAGAGGGGGTGGGTCGGTGACGAGGGGGTGGGACGGTGACGAGGGGGTGGGTCGGTGACGTGTGGGGGGGTGTTATGATCTCAGCCTGCAGGAGAAACGAGTCTCCCTCCTTGAGAGTTATTCATCAAGCCTGACCTGATTAGAAAGTCTATCAAATATTGAGGTGATAACCCATATGTAAAATAGCTGGTTGGATATGATAAACAATTTGAGATTATGGGCAGTGAAGAAGAAAACAGATAAATGACTGGCTAGAAGATGTGGACATTTTGCTGGAGGCGTGAGGCTCGCTTCTGGAGGGGCTTTGACCTCACTTGAGTGCCAGACATCGCAGGGGAAAGCCGCGCTCCGTTGAGCTCCCGTCAGAAGGGAACCCCTAGTGATATATCTCGGAGAAGAGAAGTGTGCAGACGTACCAGCTGTGGAATCGAGCTGGGGACGTGTGGTCTCAAGTCCTGGGCGATGAGAAGTGTTTATTAAACCGCCCAGAGGCATTATCGTGGGCCGTGGCAGCGCCCTGACCAAGCTTCGTCAGAGGGAGGAGCGCCCTCGACTAGACAATCTGTGGTAAGCACGATATACGCCAGTTCATAGTGATTGTTTGTAGTTGGTCGTGTGCTCAGTGACAGTAGCAACGTTTATTGATAAGTTAGGCATGTTTTGATAAGGCAGAAAGCCTAAAATAAGAGAGTGGAGAGGGAGGAGCACGGAGCGACATCCGTCCCCTCTGAGCGCTGGCAGGCAACTGAGGGAGCCAGCTCCTGACGGTGAAGGACCCTCCCTGAGTGAGGAGGCCCGCCGGGCTAGGTGGAGTATGGACCCGCCCAAAACGGGGGAGTCCACTCTCAATGTATGTAGAGGACAGATAGAGGTTGGAGGCAAACATATTGTGTGATTATTTTTGTTTATGTGTTAAAGGGGAAACAATTTTATTGGAGTGTCGATGGGTTGCAGGTTTGTCTTTGGGGAAAGACAAACCGGTGAAAGACAGGTCGGTGACGAGGGGGGTGGGACAGTGACGTGTGGTGGGTCAGTGACGTGTGGCGGGTCAGTGACGTGTGGCGGGTCGGTGACGTGTGGCGGGTCGGTGACGTGTGGCGGGTCGGTGACGTGTGGCGGGTCGGTGACGTGTGGCGGGTCGGTGACGTGAGGCGGGTCGGTGACGTGTGGTGGGTCGGTGACGTGTGGTGGGTCGGTGACGTGTGGTGGGTCAGTGACGTGTGGCGGGTCGGTGACGTGTGGCGGGTCGGTGACGTGTGGCGGGTCAGTGACGTGTGGCGGGTCAGTGACGTGTGGCGGGTCAGTGACGTGTGGCGGGTCAGTGACGTGTGGCGGGTCAGTGACGTGTGGCGGGTCAGTGACGTGTGGTGGGTCAGTGACCCACCACACGTCAATGTGGGGGGGACAGTTTCCGACACCCCAAATACTAACCCTTGATACAATAAGGTAAATACGTTGTGTCAAGACACTAACTTTACTAACCATACTAATAGTCTAGTAATTGTAAGTCTAGAAGTTCTAGAACATGTAAAGTGATGATTGCGTCAGCCGCCACATATTCCCCGTCATTATTCTTTTGCCGAACACTTGATAAAACTGTCTGCAATCTGCCTTTATTAGTGATTGCCATCTTAGATTGTGTTTAATCAATAACTAGATATAATTCATTGATTTTTAACTTTATATTAAAGTTTAAAACCGGCGAGATTAAGTGCTTCATGGAGGAGGAGGAAAAATCATACTGGGAATTATCTCAATATAACACTCCACAAATTACTTAATTCTTCGCGGTAAGTCATCAGAAACAGTACAAAACTGGTCATAGTAATTGAGGATAATAAAATATTCTTAAATTAGCACCTACCTCTCTTCATTCGTAATTTTGCACCGAAGAGTTGCCGTGACTATGAGCTGTGAGGGCACCCACGGGAGGGGGAGCAGCTAGGGCCCCACCAGCCAGGAGCTCTGAGCGGAGGGTGCCACCCAGCTACTCCCGGGAGTCCACCAGCCAGGAGCTCTGAGCGGAGGGTGCCACCCAGCTACTCCAGGGAGTCCACCAGCCAGGAGCTCTGAGCGGAGGGTGCCACCCAGCTACTCCAGGGAGTCCACCAGCCAGGAGCTCTGAGCGGAGGGTGCCACCCAGCGCTACTCCCGGGAGTCCACCACCCAGGAGCTCTGAGCGGAGGGTGCCACCCAGCTACTCCCGGGAGTCCACCAGCCAGGAGCTCTGAGCGGAGGGTGCCACCCAGCTACTCCAGGGAGTCCACCAGCCAGGAGCTCTGAGCGGAGGGTGCCACCCAGCTACTCCCGGGAGTCCACCAGCCAGGAGCTCTGAGCGGAGGGTGCCACCCAGCTACTCCCGGGAGTCCACCAGCCAGGAGCTCTGAGCGGAGGGTGCCACCCAGCTACTCCCGGGAGGCCACCACCCAGGAGCTCTGAGCGGAGGGTGCCACCCAGCTACTCCCGGGAGTCCACCAGCCAGGAGCTCTGAGCGGAGGGTGCCACCCAGCTACTCCAGGGAGTCCACCAGCCAGGAGCTCTGAGCGGAGGGTGCCACCCAGCTACTCCAGGGAGTCCACCAGCCAGGAGCTCTGAGCGGAGGGTGCCACCCAGCTACTCCCGGGAGTCCACCAGCCAGGAGCTCTGAGCGGAGGGTGCCACCCAGCTACTCCCAGGAGTCCACCAGCCAGGAGCTCTGAGCGGAGGGTGCCACCCAGCTACTCCAGGGAGGCCACCAGCCAGGAGCTCTGAGCGGAAGGTGCCACCCAGCTACTCCAGGGAGTCCACCAGCCAGGAGCTCTGAGCGGAGGGTGCCACTCAGCTACTCCCGGGAGTCCACCAGCCAGGAGCTCTGAGCGGAGGGTGCCACCCAGCTACTCCCGGGAGTCCACCAGCCAGGAGCTCTGAGCGGAGGGTGCCACCCAGCTACTCCAGGGAGTCCACCAGCCAGGAGCTCTGAGCGGAGGGTGCCACCCAGCTACTCCCGGGAGGCCACCATCCAGGAGCTCTGAGCGGAGGGTGCCACCCAGCTACTCCAGGGAGTCCACCAGCCAGGAGCTCTGAGCGGAGGGTGCCACCCAGCTACTCCAGGGAGGCCACCATCCACGGTGATCAGGGGTCGAGACCCGCCACAGTGTGTACTCACAATATTGGTGTGTTAGTTGTCTTCCATAATAATTGTGGTGGTGTGTTCGTTGTTTCCCAGCACATTAATATTTCCATTACAATAGTTTGTGTGATACAACTTTGTCCTCGTGCATATTTTTGTATTATTTTGATCCTGTAAGTTGAAATCCCATTACAAAAATGAATTTCAGCACGCCATTATATCCCCATTATTGCTTCCTTTACATGTTTATTTCTATTAAATTCCATAGCTCCATTGTCAGTCAGTTTTCCATGGCCCCCATTACATCTTCTTTCCATTATTTACAGTTCATAATCCCCTCCCACTGTGTTATTTTCACTTCTCATTACATATTAATTTCACAGAACTGTATTACACTAATTTTCCTATTATTTGCCCCATTAGAGTAGTGCACAATAGTACACTATCGACTTATGCCACGGGTGCTGGAGGGGGGGGGGGGGGGCGGGGGTCCTGCCATGACGTCACCTTCCTGTGAGTACACTGTATAGGCCTCGGTGCTGGTTCTGACGGGCGAGGGGGGTGGGGGTGGTTAGGGGGAGAGAATTATCAGGGGAAAGCGCCAAGCCATCACGACAATATGACACTTGGAAGGGGTCAGGATTTGGGATGGGACGGGGGAAAGGAATGGCGCCCAACCACTTGGACGGTCGGGGATTGAACGCCGAACTGCATGAAGCGAGACCGTCGCTGTATTACCGTCCAGGTCGGCGTTCAATCCCCGGTCGTCCAAGTAGTTGGGCACCATTCCTTCCCCCCCCCCCCGTCCTTAATACATGCACTCAGAACACCCGCTGTTCTGAGTGTATTACATATATTAAGATCACTTGATCAGATAGATCTGATCTGATCTTGATCTGATCTGATCAGATAGTTTCTGGAATTTGTAATATTCTGCAGGGGCTGGACGGTAGAGCGACGGTCTCGCTTCATGCAGGTCGGCGTTCAATCCCCGACCGTCCAACCATCTATCTTGAGGTGATTTCGGGGCTTAGCGTCCCCGCGGCCCGGTTCTCGACCCAGGCCTCCTTTTAGTTACATCCCCCCAGGAAGCAGCCCGTAGCATCTGTCTAACTCCTAGGTACCTGTTTACTGCTAGGTAACAGGAGGATCAGGATGAAAGAAACTCTGCCCATTTGTTTCCGCCTCCACCGGGGATCGAACCCGGAACCTCAGGACTACGAATCTGAAGCGCTGTCCACTCAGCTGTCAGGCCCCTGTTAGGGACCAGTAGCCCATAACAAATAGTTTAATAAAAGTAAACTGAGTCTCTGTGATTGATAAATGATGTACGGGTTTCGTAAAGGGAGACATAAATGAATCCTGGCCGCTGGAATCGCCTCTAAGATGCGTACTCACCTATTTGTACTCACCTATTTGTGCTTGCGGGGGTTGAGCTTTGGCTCTTTGGTCCCGCCTCTCAACTGTCAATCAACTGGTGTACAGGTTCCTGAGCCTATTGGGCTCTATCATATCTACACTTGAAACTGTGTATGGAGTCAGCCTCCACCACATCACTGCCTAATGCATTCCATCCGTTAACTACTCTGACACTGAAAAAGTTCCTTCTTACGTCCCTGTGGCTCATGTGGGTACTCAGTTACCACCTGTGTCCCCTTGTTCGCGTCCCACCAGTGTTAAATAGTTTGTCCTTGTTTACCCGGTCGATTCCCCTGAGGATTTTGTAGGTTGTGATCATATCCCCCCCCTTACTCTTCTGTCTTCCAGTGTTGTATGGTGCATTTCCCGCAGCCTTTCCTCATAACTCATGCTGATGCGTGGGTTGGATTCCTTGGTAGACTAGAGTTCTCACGTTTCTCTTCACGTTCCACTATGATAATATTTCAGCTTTTACTAAGGTGATAATATATTCAAGGCAGAAGAGTTTCGGGAAGTATGTGAAGACTTTCTCAAGCGATAGATAAAGATCCAACCTGGGAAAATGTTATTTTTCACCTAATGCTATAAAAGAAACTATATTAAACCTGCTCAATCATATCTTCCTTCAAATTCACAAATAACAAATCAAAAACCATGTCGTGGCGCAGTTGACTAAGGCGCATCTGAGATCATACCGGGCGTAGGTTCGAACCCTCATCACGACCCTTGTGGATCTGTTCATTTGATATATCACGCCAGTGCGGTTTGTGGGTGTGTATCTTCGTTCAGTCCCTCCCCCCCCCTCCTCCTCCCTGTGAGTAGGAAGGCGGGGGGGGGGGGGGCGGGGGGGCTGAGCATCAAGGAAGGAACCATTCCTTCCCTCCGTCCCATCCCAAATCATTATCCTCATCCCTTCCTAATGCTATATAGTTGTAATGGCTTGGCGCTTTCCATTAATAATTCTCTCCTTCCTCTCGTCAGTTGCAGAGTCAAGTATTTGTGTGTGTTCCTCGAGCATTTGTCTAGCGAGTGCTGCTGCGTATTTTATGACGTATAAGGTGGTTCCTGGTTGTAGGTATAAGGTGGTTCCTGGTTGTAGGTATAAGGTGGTTCCTGGTTGTAGCTATAAGGTGGTTCCTGGTTGTAGCTATAAGGTGGTTCCTGGTTGTAGCTATAAGGTGGTTCCTGGTTGTAGCTATAAGGTGGTTCCTGGTTGGAGCTATAAGGTGGTTCCTGGTTGGAGCTATAAGGTGGTTCCTGGTTGGAGCTATAAGGTGGTTCCTGGTTGGAGCTATAAGGTGGTTCCTGGTTGTAGCTATAAGGTGGTTCCTGGTTGTAGCTATAAGGTGGTTCCTGGTTGTAGCTATAAGGTGGTTCCTGGTTGTAGCTATAAGGTGGTTCCTGGTTGTAGCTATAAGGTGGTTCCTGGTTGTAGCTATAAGGTGGTTCCTGGTTGTAGCTATAAGGTGGTTCCTGGTTGTAGCTATAAGGAGGTTCCTGGTTGTAGCTATAAGGTGGTTCCTGGTTGTAGGTATAAGGTGGTTCCTGGTTGTAGCTATAAGGTGGTTCCTGGTTTAGCTAGGTGGTTCCTGGTTGTAGGTATAAGGTGGTTCCTGGTGGTTCCTGGTTGTAGCTATAAGGTGGTTCCTGGTTGTAGCTATAAGGTGGTTCCTGGTTGTAGCCCTAGGTATAAGGTGGTTCCTGGTTGTAGCCTAGGTAAGGTGGTTCCTGGTTGTAGCTATAAGGTGGTTCCTGGTTGTAGCTATAAGGTGGTTCCTGGTTGTAGCTATAAGGTGGTTCCTGCTTGTAGGTATAAGGTGGTTCCTGCTTGTAGGTATAAGGTGGTTCCTGGTTGTAGCTATAAGGTGGTTCCTGGTTGTAGCTATAAGGTGGTTCCTGGTTGTAGCTATAAGGTGGTCCCTGCTTGTAGGTATAAGGTGGTTCCTGGTTGTAGCTA